GCGTCGGATGCCGTGGCGTAAAGCACGCCGCCACTGGACTCTAGAGCAGTGGAGACGTGTTCTCTGAGTGTGACGAATCACACTTCTCTGTCTGGCAATCTGATGGACATGTCTGGGTTTGGCAGTTGCCAGGAGAACAGTACTTGCCTGACTGCATTGTGCCAAGTGTAAAGTTTGGTGGAGGGGGGATTATGGTGTGGGGTTGTTTTTCAGGCATTGGACTTGGCCCCCTAGATCCAGTGAAGGGAACTCTTAAGGCGTCAGTATACCAAGAGATGTTGGACAATTTCATGCTCCCAACTTTGTGGGAAGAGTTTGGGGATGGCCCCTTCCTGTTCCAACATGACTGCACACCAGTGCACAAAGCAAGGTCCATAAAGACATGGAAGAGCCAGTTTGGGGTGGAGGAACTTGACTGTCCTGCACAGAATCATGACCTCAACCCAATAGAACCCCATTGGGATGGATGAGAGCGGAGACTGTGAGCCAGGCCTCCTCCCCGACATCAGTGCCTGACCTCACAAATGTTCTTCTGGAAGAATGGTCCAACCTTCCCATAGACACCCTCCTAAACCTTGTGGACGGCCTTCCCAGAAGAGTTGAAGGTGTATAGCTGCAAAGGGCGGGGCCAACTCTGTATTGAACCCTACGGACTAAGACTGGGATGCCAATAAAGTTCATGTGCATGGAAAGGCAGGCGGCCCAATACTTTTGGCAATATAGTGTATATATGGTGTAGATATATAATTTTATACACTCAAATTGTTGAAACAGTTTAGCCACTGTTTTTGTACACTCCCAGAAGTCTGCTTGCTTTACATTGTTGCTCTATGTTACATACTCCAATGCCATGCTTTAGATTGCAATATCTACACCATTTCACTCTGTATAATGTGCTGCATGTTACATACTGTAGATCACTCCCTGTATGTTCTGCTGTTACATTATCTGCGCCATTTTATGCTGTATAAGGTTTTGTACATTACATTCTCCAGACTACAGTCTGAATGCTGTGCTGTAAGTTGTATTATCTGTATTGTTTCACCTGCATGATTTGTTGTATGTTTCATATTACAGATTGTACTCTGTATGCTGTGCTGTATATTTCATATTTATTGTGTATGCCAGCTGTAAGGCATTTTCTGCACTGCTTCACTTCGCGATGAGCTGTATTTCACATACTGCAGACCACACTCACAATGCTGTGCTCTTTGTTACATTATCTATACTATTTCACTCGCTATGAGGCTCTATATACGATATATTGTATACTTTGATTGCACTCTGTATACTGTGCTGTGCATTGTATACTTCAAATTTACGCTGTATGATGTGCTGTACAGTATATATTAAATACTCGAGATTGTATGCTGTGCTGTGCATTACAATGCATCCAGAAAGTATTCACAGCGCTTAACTTTTTTGCCACATTTTGTTATGTTACAGCCTTATTTCAAAATAGATTAAATTAATTTTTTTCCATCAATATTCTACAAACAATACCCCATAATGACAATGTTAAAGAAGTTCCTTTTGAAATCTTTGCAATTTATTAAAAATAAAAAACGGAAATAACACTTGTACATAAGTATCCACAGCCTTTGCTATGACACTCAAAATTGAGCTCTGGTGCATCCTGTTCCCACTGATCATCCTTGAGATGTTTCCACAACTTGATTGGAGTCCACCTGTGGGAAATTCAGTTGTTTGGACATGATTAGGAAAGGCATAACCCTGTCTATATAAGGTCCCACAAATAGGAGTGTATGTCAGAGCACAAACCAAGCCATGAAGTCCAAGGAATTGTCCGTAGATCTCCGAGACAGGATTGTATCAAGGCACAGATCTGGGGAAGGGTACAGAAAACTTTCTTCAGCATTAACCACTTCCTGTCCGGACACTTTTACCCCCTTCCTGATCAGGGCAATTTTCAGCTTTCAGCGCTATCACACTTCGAATGACAATTGCGCGGTCATGCAATACTGTACCCATATGAATTTCTTACCATTTTTTTGAGACAGATAAAACTTTATTTTGGTGGTATTTATTCTCCGCTGGGATTTTTATTTTTTTGCTATGTAAATGAAAACGTCCAAAAATTTTGAAAAAAAGTGTTTTTTTAAATAAAATTTTGCAAATAAATATTTCATCATAAATCTTGGCCAAAATTTATTCCATTATTTTTTTAGTAAAAAAAAAAATCCAAATTAGTTTATAACCAAAAATTATAATTTTTAAACATATTTTTTTTTACATTTTTATTTTTTTTTATATTTATTATTTTTTTTTTTTCTTGCATACTGTCACCCTAGCAGTACAGTGTCACCATGGTGACACTGTACTACTTGTGGGGGGTGATGAAGATTTTTTTTTTTTACACTGATTGCTTTTACACCCATATAGGATGTAAAAGCAATAATTTCTCTTTCTCTCTGTCTGCATTCTTGCAGTCATTGAGAAGTACTGAGTGAGCTGTGATTGGTCACAGCTTGTCACATGGTACAAGGCTGTTGTGAATAGCCTTGTACCATATGACCTCTGTGATCATTCACAGATTTCACACGTAGTAAGCAATGATGTCACAAGTGACATCTTGCTTACTACTTTGCATGTGATCACTGATTGGCCAATCAGTGATCACATGATCAGGACCTCGTACAGACGTCCCGTCCGACGATCGGTGTTTCACTATGTCCGGAGGACACAGCGGGCACCGGATCGCGGGGCTGCGCGCTCCCAAGGAGCGCGCACAGCTAGAAAAGGTGGGTGCCATTTATGAATGGCAACCCGCCCCTGCACTGCCACCGCCCTGCCATTTATAAACAGCAGGCGGACGGCAAGTGGTTAAAGGTTCCAATGAGCACAGTGGCCTCCACCATCCGTAAATGGAAGAAGTTTGGAACCACCAGGAATCTTCCTAGAGTGGGTCTTCCGGCCAAAATGAGTGATCGAGGGAGAAGGGCCTTAGTCAGGGAGGTAACCAAGCACCCGATGGTCACTCTGAAAGAGCTCCAGCGTTTATCTGTGGAGAGAGGAGAACCTTCCAGAAGAACAACCATCTCAGTAGCACTCCACCAATCAGGCCTGTATGGTAGAGTGGCCAGACGGAAGCCACTTCTCAGGAAAAAGGCAAATGGAGTTTGCTAAAAGGCACCTGAGGGACTCTGAGACCATGAGAAACAAAACTCTCTGGTCTGATGAAACAAAGATTGAATTCTTTGGCCTGAATGCCAAAGTGTCATGTCTGGAGGAAACCAGGCACCGCTCACCAACTGGCCAATACCATCCCTATAGTGAAGCATGGTGGTGGCAGCATCATGCTGTGGGGATGTTTTTCAGTGGCAGGAACTGGGAGACTAGTCAGGATCGAAGGAAAGATGAATGCAGCAATGTACAGAGACATCCTTGATGAAAACCTGTTCCAGAGCACTCCGTATCTTAGACTGGGGCGACGATTCATTTTTCAACAGGACAACGACCCTGAGCACACAGCCCACATAACAAAGGAGTGGCTACAGGCCAATTTTGTGAATGTCCTGGAGTGGCCCAGCCAGAGCCAAGACTTGAACCCGATTGAACATCTCTGGAGAGATCTGAAAATGTCTGTGCACCGACACTTCTCATCCAGCCTGATGGAAATGAGAGGTACTGCAAAGAAGAATGGGAGAAATTACCCAAAAATAAGGTTGCCAAGTTTATAGTCTCATTCTCAAAACCACTCGAGGCTGTAATTGGTGCTAACGGTGCTCAAAGTATTGAGCAAAGGCTGGGAATACTTATGTACATATGTTTTTTTTGTTTTTTATTTTTAATAAATTGCAAAGATTTCAAAATGAACTTCTTTCACTTTGTCATTATAGGGTGTTGTTTGTAGAATGTTGAGGAAAAAAAATAATTTAATTCATTTTGGAATAAGGCTGTAACAACAAAATGTGGCAAAAGTAAAGTGCTGTGAATACTTTCTGGATGCACTGTATACACTTCAACTTTCACTCTGTATGATGTACTGTACATTATATACTCTAGAATTGACTCTGTATACTGTACATTTCACATTTTAGACCACACTGTGTATGCAATTCTATACATTGTCTTCCACTCTGCTCCACTTTGTATATTGTGTACATTATGCTGTACATTACATACTACAAATCTCAAACAAAGGTATATAAAAATATATAAAATATGAAGAAACTACTCATGATTTTTTTTTTAGATCTGCAGAGTTCCACAAGTTATTTATAATAATTAATAATACAGTTTAATAAGAATATTTGTATTTAGCTGATCACATTCACATGTCTAAGAAAAAAAGAAATAACATAAAGATCAGTTGAATCCCCCGAGGAAAAATAAAAGGTCGTAGAGTCTGTGTGACAAGTGGAAGACATTCATTTTTGGCACCAGGAGTCACAAAGCTGAAAATATACGAATACTGGTCATAATCCAACAGCAACATATTTTCCTGGTTAATACGGCTTCCGTCCAGACTCTCACGCCCCTTGCTTTTCAAAAGACAGACGATTACAAGTGCGTAGCGCTAATGTCATCCAACTGGACGGAAGTCAGATTTTTATCTAAGACAAATTGTCATTAAAGTCATTCTTTTACTCTATGTATTTACAATTGGGTCTAAAAAAATGTATAATCCCCAATGGTCTTTCTAACATTAAAGAGACCATGTCACTGTAAAAGCACAAGGGATTTGACTATTCCAGGTAGAGTCAATAGCCTTTCCTCTTCTGGAGGTGTCTGATTACTGTCTATGCTGGCCCAACTCCTCTGCCCCTCCATTTACCCTCCCTACATACACCTGCTGGGGAAAGAATGAAGTGGAATATTATAGAGTTGTTTTTCTCAGCCTTTTTACCCCAGAGGAACCCTTGTAATATTTTTTAGGTCTCAGGGAACCCCAGCTAAAAACAATTCATCAGGGGTCAGTAAGAAGAATGACTCTCACATTGGTGGTTATTGGGAAGAATGCTCATTACATTGGTGTCAGTGGGAAGAATGCTCCTTACATTGGTGTCAGTGGGAAGAATGCTCCATACATTGGCGATCAGTGGGAAGAATGCTCCTTACATTGGCGATCAGTGGGAAGAATGCTCCTTATATTGGTGATCAGTGGGAAGAATGCACCTTACATTGGCTATCAGTGGGAAAAATGCCCCTTATGTTGGCACCCAGTGCGAAGAATGCTCCATACATTAGCGATCAGTGGAAAGAATGCTCCTTACATTGGTGATCAGTGGGAAGAATGCTCCTTACATTGGTGATCAGTGGGAAGAATGCCCCCTACATTGGTGATCAGTGGGAAGAATGCCCCCTACATTGGTGATCAGTGGGAAGAATGCCCCCCACATTGGTGATCAGTGGGAAGAATGCCCCTTACAATGGTAGTCAGTGAGAAGAATGCTCCTTACATTGGCGATCAGTGGGAAGAATGCCCCTTATGTTGGTACCCAGTGGGAATAATGCTCCATACAATGGTGATCAGTGGGCAGAATGCTCCTTACATTGGCAATCAGTGGGAAGAATGTCCCTTATGTTGGTACCCAGTGGGAAGAATGCTCTTTACATTGGTGATCAGTGGGAAGAATGCTCCTTACATTGGTGATAAGTGGGAAGAATGTTCCTTACATTGGTGATCAGTGGGAAGAATGTCCCCTACATTGGTGGTCAGTGGGAAGAATGCCCCTTACAATGGTAGTCAGTGAGAAGAATGCTCCTTACATTGGTGGTCAGTGAAGGAGTTATAGTGAAAAGGGGGCTCTAAAGTCAAAAAGGGGACTCTAATGTGAAAGGGGAACCTCTGATGTGAAAGGGGAACCTCTGATGTGAAGGGGAACCTCTGATGTGAAGAAAGGATTCTAATGTAAACATAAAAACTACCTCTGAAGTGAAGGGATGACTTTGATGTAAAGTAATTTCTTGGGGCGTGTTTACTCATTCATTTATTAAACTGATTTTTTTTTCCAGCCTGTGAAAATGTGTCCAATATACGATGTGGCCCTCGTACTGGAATGTTTGGAGACCCCTGGATTGGATTATACTGTTAGCTAGACAGGTATACTAGCAAGTCTGGTATGAAAGATGTTCAGTTGATTTGGGATTCTAAAACTACTTGCCGCCCACCTACAGTAGATTTACTATGGGTGGGTGGCATAGGCAGGCCGGACAACGTACCCTTTAATCACAGCTTGCTTCCGGGTTTGGCAGCTGATTTCAGCCAATGATTTTAGCTGAAGCCAGTTGATTGGCTGTGTCCAATCACGCACAGGGTTCTGTGTTTAAAACACTGTTGAACAGTGATCTGGCTGCTTCTTCTCCCTGAAAAGCCAGTAGAAAAAAACTGTCAGATCATAAAGTAAAAGCAGCACATATTACAATGTTAGGCACACAGTCAACCCCTTGATTGTCCCTAGATGTTAACCCCTTCTCAACCAGTGTCTTTAGTACAGTGTCAGTTTTTAGTATTATCACTGATCACTGATTGATCAGTGTCAGTTAATGACCCTCCCAGATAGTGTCTGTTAGTGCCACATTGCCCGCCACACCCATCACATAAGTCACTGATCATGAAGTCTAGTATGAAAGATGTTCAGCTGATTTGGGATTCTAAAACTACTTGCCGCCCGCCCTCAGTAGATTTACTACGGGTGGGCGACATTATTATCATATAGTAATTATCACTGATCACTGTATCAGTGTCAGATAGTGACCCTCCCAGATAGTGTCTGTTAGTGCCACATTACCCGCCACACTATCACAGTCCCGCTATAAGTCACTGATCATCGCCATTACAGTATAGCATCTAAAGCTGCGTAAATTCTAGTATATATCCCATAGTTTGTAGATGCTATATCTTTCACACAAACCAATTAAACCCCCCTGGCGGTATTCCCGAGTGTAGCTCGGGGTAAAGTTTCAGTACCAAAAGCGGTAACCCCGAGCTACACTCGGGATTACCATGCGGCGTTGCTCAGGAATTCCCAGTTTCACTTACCTTGTCCTGCGCTCCTGCGATGATGTCCCCTACTTGCAGCATCCCCGGCCATCTCCTCCGGCCGATGCCGGCATCCGTCTTCCGAGTTCCAGTCCCTGCGAGTGTCGGGACATACGGGGGCCGGAACCGGCGGGAAATTTAAAAATTTTTGAAAAAGTGACATTCACAAAATACACTAAAATCACATAATAAAACATTACTGTACCAAACCATTTCACATACATTTTGTCCCGAGTGCTTTGTCCTGTGCCCTGCCTGCATTTTTTACTACCGTTCTTTTAACATACCCGGGATGTTTACTAGACTCTTTTATTCGGACAGATCTCAGTGAGTTATTCCTAATTACAGGCCTACAATAAAAAAACAACATATTTCCATGCAAAGATATGTACCGCTTTCAGCACAGAAATATGGACATAATCAGACCACTAGGGAGGTTAATACACATGTATTGGGATTTTTTTTTTTTTACCAAAGACATGTAGCAGAATACATTTTGGCCTAAATTTATGAAGACACTTGTTTTTACTGTATATGTTTTATAAACAGATGTAGAAAATGTAGGTTTTTTTCCCCAAATAATCAATATTTTTTCATTTTATATGATAACAAATTAAAAATCCAGTGGTGATCAAATACCACACTATTTGTGTGTGAAAAAAATATATATATATATTTAATTTGGGTACAGTGTTGCCTGACCAGTTAAAGAAGCACAGTGCTGAATAGCAAAAAATGATCTGGTCATGAAGGGGTAAAACCTTTTTACCCCTTCATGACCAAGGGGGTCAAGTGGTTAATTTACTGTATGAAACTGTCCCTCCACCATATCAATCTATTTTGCATGCTTTCTCTTTGGATCATTTCACACTCTAGCAGGGACTCTGGTACACAGCATTGATTTTTATTTTACTCTTTTTACAGTAAACGTTCCACTCCTTGATACTTTATTTACAATTACAACTATGTCTGATGTGATGATCATAATGCATGGTTTGCTTTATGGGAATATATTGTGGTTTTGTGTACATTGGGGTTGATGTACAGATGCAGGAGAGCATGTTCACTTCACAAGTAAATTTTCACTAATCCTAGTGAATAGGGTGAAAAAATAAATAAAAATGAACTCTTTAACCACTTGAGCTCCAGAGGATTTACCCCCCTTAATGACCAGGCCTCTTTTTCCTACTCGGCGCTGCACTAATTCAACTGATAATTGCGCGGGTCATGCAATGCTGCACCCAAATTAAATTTACGTCCTTTTTTTTTTGCACAAATAGAGCTTTCTTTCGGTGGTATTTTATCATCTGTGCGCTTTTTATTTTTCATGCTATAAACAAAAAAAGGCCAAAAATTGTGAAGAAAAACAATATATTTTTAATTTCAGCTATACAAATATATAGTAAACTCAAAGTTGGTTATAAATTTAGGCCAAAATGTATTCTGCTCCATGTTTTTGGTAAAAAAAATCCCAATAAGTGTATATTGATTGCTTTGTGTGGAAGTTATAGCGTCTACAAACTATGGTATAGATACTGCAATTTACGCCATTTTTCTGCTATACAGAGCTGCGCTAGTTTAACGGACAATTGCGCGGTCATGCAATACGGTACATAAATGAAATTTACATACTTTTTTTCCCCACAAATTGAGCTTTCTTTTGGTGGTATTTGATCGCCTGTGTGGTTTTTATTTTTTGCGCTATAAAAAAAAAGGCTGACAATTTTGAGGAAAAAAAACAATATTTTGGACTTTTTGCTATAAAACATGTCCAGTAAAAAAAAATTTAAAAATCAAATTTAGTCATAAATTTCTGCCAAAATGCATTCTGCGACATGTCTTTGGTAAAAAAAAAAACCCAATACGTGTAAATAATTGGTTTACGTGAAAGTTATAGCGTTTTCAAATGGCGGGAAAGATACTGAGATTTTTAGGTTTTTTTATACTACTAATAATGGCGGCGATCAGTGACTTATGGCTGCAATCAGGGACTTATGGCGGCGATCAGCAACTTATGGCAGGACTACGGTGGACATTCTGACATTGGGGGGTACTGACTTGGGGTCACTGACATCCCCAGTGACACCAATACAGTGATCAGTGCAAAAAAAAAAAAACCACTGACACTGTACTAATGGCACTGGGGAGGAAGGGGTTAACTTTATTTTGCAGGGAAGGGTTATCTGTGAGGGGAGTGTTTTACTAGGGGGCGGGGTGTGTACTGCAGGGAACACCGCTGATCGGGAGAGAGAAACCCTTCTGTCCTGGTCAGCGTGTTCTCGAGCTGTCAGGGAAGTGACAGACAGCACAGCTACTGCAGCTGTGCTCTCTGTCACTGATTGCCACCGATCGCCGGGTCATAGCCGGTAAGGACTGATATCCGCGGCTGTGATCGGTGGGACAAGCAGGGCGGCAGCGCGCCTCGCGCGCGCCGCCTACCTGTTTACAAAACACACCGTTTTAAAACGTGCTTTTGCCTGCCCATGCCGCCCTGCCGCCATATTTCTACACTGGCAGGGCGGCAAGTGGTTAAAGAATGTGTAATCACAAGGGCAGGAAAATTAAACCTTGATTTTTGGTTGCTTGTGATTGGGTGATTCAGTTCAGTTTAATTTACTTTCATTCACTTAGTGAAAATGAAACTATGATTGAATTTAATTACATTTATTTGTTATTTTTGTGATGATTACTTTTTCATTTTATTTTATGTGTTGTTATATGTGTTCAGGAATTTCCAAGATGGCGGCTCGTAAACTTCCTGTTTAGCAGTGTGATGTCATTGGCCCACTCTACACGTTACATCACATCACATGAGGAGGTCCCAAAAGAGGTGCAGCCAACCACTCCTCCAAATCCATCCACTGTCCTCAAGGCCCTCCAATGAAAGCCTTGGGGAAAATCCAGAGAAGCTAGCCTGCAGTGCAATTTTGACCCCTCTGACGAATACACCTGAGCTGCTAACAGCTCCTGACTAAGGCCGGCCATACATGGGTCGGACCTAAGAATAATTGGGCAATTTTCGCTCTGTTAGTGGGTCAATGGCACCATCTGTTTTTCGTGGTTCCGCCCCTTTTCGGTGATCGGCATGTTGGAAAATTCATGAAAAACTACCGATTTTTGACTCAATGATGGTCAAATTGTATGATCGTTTTCCAAAAATAATATGCGCATGAGCCATGACCTGGAAGCAACAGAAGTTTTGCATCTTATATGGGGTGAACTTTATGACTTGGTCTGCCAATTTTCAAAATCAATGATGGCACCATCGGATTACCGAGCGAACAACGTTTCCAATTTACGGGTGAAAAATCGTTAGGAATTCGAACCATGTATGGCTTGCATAACTATTAGCGATCTAACTCCCCCTAGTGTAACTAGAAGGGTGTTACATATATAACAGTTCAATATCTTAGAATCCCTTACAGATTAAAAGACAAGTTCACCTTTTAGAAAAAAAAATAAAATAACATTTTTTGGCAGGTAAAAAAATGTGCATTTACTATTTTTGTCTGCAG